ATCCCAGGTAAAGTACAAAAAGGGGGGATCAGTAAGCAGACAGGTGGGAGGAGCCCTAGGGCTGTGAGCAGACCGACTGACCTCTGCAGAGCTGAGCCAAGGACCCCAAAGATGCCCCGCCCCCTGCACCTCACTCTCGCCTCAGGAACTCATGCGTTGGTGATCAGAAACCAGTTCTGCATACCATGGCACAGGAAAAACCCCCAGCTTCTTTTATTAAAAAAATTTCAGCCAGGCATAGTGGCCCACACCTGAAACCCAGGGGCTGAGGCAGGAGCACCAGAAGTTCAAGGCCAGCGTGGGCTACGAAGCAAAACTCTAGCTCAGGAAAGAAAGAGAAATGGGGAGCGGGGGAGGGGAGGGAGGGTACAGTGCCATGAGGCCGGCCGTGCCCCATGGAGCTGGAGGGTATCCGCACAGACACAGAGAAAGTCAGATCTAGCTGGGACACAGGGACAACTCCGAAGTCACCAGGTGCAGGACAGAGCTCACAGGGTCACGGGGGTGCTAGCAAAGGCAGCTGCTGGACACACCCTGGGGCAGGAAGCCGGAGGCAGAAGGAGGCAGGGCCCGCTCCCCAGGTGCCCTCAGCTCTGAATGCCCGAGGGCACTGCCCAGCTAGGGACCTGGGAGAGCGAGCCGTGTCTGGAATCAGGGCACAAAGACATCCCCAAAAGGCGGTGTTTGGGCATAAAAATGACATTCTGTGTTGAGCTGCAGAGCTCCTGGGCTCAGCTCAGCCCAGCAAACAGAAAGACCTTTCACTAGGTCTCCGGAGAGACTGCGAGAAAGAAAAGTAAAGCAGAGCCTTTCAAAGGAGAAAGCTCAGCCCTCAGCAAAACTGGCCTTTTAAAAATATATATAAATTTAATCAATTTTTGTGGTTTCAGTAACAGCAAAGGATTTTGTGGTTTTCCCTTAAATTTTTCACCATTTTCCATTAAAAACAAAAGCCAATATTTGAAACCATTTTTCCCCCACTGAAAGTGGCAATGTTTTTCCCAGGGACCAATTCCTTGGAAAAATATCTGTGCAGCATTGCAGCCTGTGATGGCCCTGCTGGCCAGAGGCAGTGCCATACTCGCCCACGCGACCAGTCACACCTGCCACCAGATGTGCCCGTCAGGTGGAAAATTCCATGCAAGAGAAGCTCCCCTTCTTTCTGGAGGTTATGTGAACAGGCCATCTGACCTCTTAGGGAGCCAGGCCTGGAGGTCGAGGGTGCCTGCCACACGCACCTCTGCCATCAGCAGGTCAGCCTGCTCCACCTCTTGCTTTACAGGTGAAGAAACCGAGCCCCGTGGAGGCCTTGGGCCTCTTCCCAAGACAGAGATCCCTGGCAGAGATGCAGTTTGGGCCCAGGCCTCCACACTCGGTTGTTCAACTGTTTTCCATAGCGTTCACCCTTTCTCAGTAAAACTCGGTTTTTTATCAGTTCCTAGTTCCTGGAGCAAATATTATCTACATGTTCCTAGGAAACTGTAATTCTGCTCAACTACCTGGAACTGGAGCTCTACATCTTCCAGCCTCTTGGAATTGTGTAGGAGACCAGATCATGAGGACCAAGGCCTAACTGACCTTCTCCACAAGTAGAGGAGAAAAACAACAGGCTGAGCCTCGTTTGCCAACACTCAGGCACAGTGGCACGCTACAAGACCTAGTGAAGAGTGCATCCATACAGCTGAGATCCGGCCATTTACCTGGGCATATGCTGTAGATAACAGGAAGCAGGTGGTCTCCTATTGCCCCTATGCTTGCTCCTGGGTCTAAGTGAATAAAGCCAGGTGGGCCGAACACGCAGGCTCCTGTCCTCGGGAGGCAGAGTCCCTGGCCCTCTCATTCCGAATTATTTGTGTCTTTTTGTCTTTTATCTTCTTTCGTCCTCAGTCGGGAGCGAACTCATAGGCTGGCCTCCTACAGATGTGAACTTCAGAAGACTCCAGACTCCCACCAATTCCTTTACAGACCACGATAAGAACTTCCCGGGACCACTGCACCCAGGCCAGCACCCTCTCCTGGACCTCTACTTTCAACATTTAACATCAAGAACAACTCTTCTCTAGTTTTGCTCTTTGCTCTGACTGCTAGGAAGCCCATAGCTGATTGTGTCTTTAATGGCTGGAACTTTCATGAACTTCGATTTTTTAAATGCAGTTTCTATCTTTGCCCCTTTACTGCCTTCACTCTTGCCTTTTACTCTGGATTGACATTTTATGCTTTGTATTTTAAGTAAACCATTTCCATTTTTTTTTTAAATTAGGGAGGGATGAATACTAAAATAAATAAACACTCTCTCAGATCTCAAACCAAAATAAGTGACAAAATTACTCCATTCCAGATAGCCAATTGCAAGGGAAATTCAAAAGCAAATATAAAAATATCTTTCCCCAAAAAAGCCAGCAAAAGAAAACTGATATGTTAATGGATGATCTTTGAGAAAACCACAAAGCTGTCACTGCAAACCTGCTTTCCTCTCACTACGGATGCCACTCAGCACACTGCAGCCCCTCACGCCAGATCTCAGACCTGGTCTCTCCCTGCTTCCACCTGCAGTGTCAGAGCTGGAATGAGCCCTGAGAGCATCAGCCCAACCCCCTCACACAGACCAGGCAACTGAGGCCCAGAGAAGGGAGTGGCTCTTCCCAGGCCACACAGCTCAGAGGTGATGACACTTAGGGTCCCTCCTCTGGTATATCACGCCTTTTTCCTCACAAATGTCACACCTGGTTCCACCAAGCCACACCAGACAGAGTTAAGAGTTGTTTTTTTTTTTTTTTGAGACAGGGTCTCACTGTGTAGCACAGGCTGGCCTCCAACTCACAGTGATCCTCCTGCCTCGGCCTCCCAAGTGCTGGGATTACAGGGATGTGCCACCACACCCAGTAGATTTAAGAATTTAAATCACCAACACAAGAGGGATTTTTTTCCACACCAACCTAAAAGCTAAACTAGAAGAGAAATAGGCTGTTTCTACTGGCACGAGTAAGCCCTGTGCGTGTGTGTGTGTGTGGTGTGTGTGTGTGTGTGCAGGTATTTGTGGTAAGAGAGGAAAGTCCCTAAAACCTTTAAAGTTAAATTCTATTTAGGAACGTATTGGTAAAACAAGCTGTGGCACCTACAACAAACGTTTCATGACTCCATAGCTATTCAGCAGGAGCCCAGTTGGTACAGGAGGGGACAGAAAATAGAACTGCGAACTGTCAGCCCCAAGAAGCTCATCTGGGAAAGACACGCAAATACCCTGAAATGAAATCTACACTGTGCCTGGTATGGGAGAAAAGCCCAGCTCGCCATGATGCAGTTTCTTTTGTAACAGGGAGCAAGGGGAGCTCTGCTTTCCTCCCTGAGCTGCTGCTCCGCAGGGTCCTGGGACCTGCGCATGCCCGTGTCCGTCACCCTGGTGACGTAGCCCCTTGGGCCTGGCCGAGTCCCCGTCCCACAAAGCTGCCCCGGAACCCCCGCGGCCTGGGGCTCTGCCACATTAGCGCGCTGTGTGCTCGCGGATGGAGATGGACTTACACATGCCAAGGACGTTTAGCCGTAAAAGTGAGTGGATTTTTTAAAGGAAAATTTTACGGGGAATATTTTTCCCCTTAGGTGTGAAATTTGGCAGTCGCCGCGTTCTCTGATGGACTGCTGAAGACTTGGTTAATTAGAAACGAGCTCCTGGTCCAAGGTAAACATCTTGAGCCTGCTAAGTCTTCTTTCGGTGTTTGTCTGAAATCCTTCTGAAAATAGTATAGCTTTCTATAAAGAAATATTAACCGGTGTTCAAGATGGAGTTGACTGTGTCCTAACCCAGCCCTTGCTAAATTGGTATTAGATGAAGGATTAGTCTCTGGTTTTATTTGAAAATCCCAAGAGGAACAGCAGCTCCAACCACCGCCTTCTTACCCATTTTTCAGAACTGCGGCCTGCAGGAGCACCTCTAACTGGGGCAGCGGGAGCCTTTAGCTGGCTGATGGCGCTGGCTGGACACGGAGTCTAATAGCCCGCTGTTTGTTGACACAGACAACTGGCAGGCGGAGACAGGCGGCCGCGTCCCCATAGCGCCCGAGGCCTGGACCCGCACCTCAAGAGGGCTGCCCCTGCTCTCTCAGCTTCCCTCGTTCTTTTCCAAGCCTCCACTTCAGGAAGCACAGCATGGGGGTGTCTTGGATTTGGAGGAGCTGTGCCCCAAGCTGCCCTGTGCTGGACACTGTGGTGGACACCAAGGAAGCTGCCCCGCCTCTGCTGACGCCCTCTGGGGATGGCACTGCCCAGGGTCCCTGTGCCCTGAGTGAGCCAGGATCCTTGGTCCTCAACCAGGGGAGGGTGGCCCTGAACTGTCCACCCTGCGGCTGTGGCCACTCTTGTCCTAGGGACAGGTTCCCCTGTGGGAGAACACGAAGCACAGTCCTCAGCCCTCTGTCTGTGGATGGAGGGCCAGGGTAGGCAAGTCACGGACCGAGCCAGAATCTCAGAAAGGGGACTCCAGGGAGAGCTGGGGAGGAGGTAAGGGTGCTGCTATGAGACATCACCAGAAGAAATCAAGACAGCTCTTATGAAAGGAATCCAGGGATGCTGCAGAGAAGTGTGAGAGTCCATCTCCACTGCCGACAGGGAGGCCGAAGAGCAGAGCCTCCTGGACATGAACCCTTCCTAGTCGAGCAACACTGCGAGGCTCAAAGACCCCCAGAGGGCATGTGCACACTCCTGTGGCAGTGGGAACCGGGACCGCTGCTGCAGAAGGCAGTACGGAGGGTCTGCAGAAGGAAGGTACGGCTCCCACGTGTGCAGCAACCGCTCTGCCGGGCCTCCATCCGAAGGGATGCTGGGCAGCCAGTCGAGACCCTTCTGTGTCAGGGTTCACTGCTGCACATGAACAGCAGCAAAGACGCGGGGCCAGCCCACGTGTCCGCCGGCAGACACACGGATAGAGCAATCTGGGGTGTGCCCTGTGTGATACTCTTTGGCCTTGATAAAAAAGGAAAATCTGTCACTTATTTGGGTTTCTTCCGTTTAATTTTTTAAATTCTATTAGTCCATGTTTGCAGCACACAGTGACCACGGTCCTCGTGGGGAATTGGTCCACACACGTTGCACATTTCAGTTCTCTCATCCCATCCTGTCCCCTCCTTCCTCCCCTCTATCTCTTGGCTCCCTTCCTATTTCCAAAACATCCATCTCCCTGTTACCTATGATCTATCTCTTATTTTGCTCTTTATTTATACTCAGGGTTTCACATATAAGAGAAGCCATGTGATATTTAACCTTCTGTGTCTGATTTATTTCTCTTAACATTATGGTCTCAAGGTGCATCCATGTTCCTACAAATGACTTTGGTTTATCCTTCTTTGTGGCAGAGTAGTACTCCGTTGTGTGTAAATAGCATATTTTCTTTATCCGTTCATCTGTTGATGGACGTATAGGCTGCTTCCAAGACTTAGCTATTGTGCTGCTAAAAACATGGTGTGCCTGGTCGGTCAAGGGCACAATTTTAGTCACACAAGAGAAACAGCTTCGAGGGGTCTGTGGCAGGATGCGGCGACGGTAGTGACCAAGTGCGTAACCACTTCGAGACTGCAAAGGGAGCCAATCTGGGGTGTCCTCACAGTGCACAAACAGCATCGCCCCTCAGCTTGACGCAGCTGTTCCGCAGTGTACACTCACTCCAGAAGTCGGGGCCGTACAGTGAGTGCGCACAGCGCGTCTTGTCCACTCATGGTTTGCAGGTCCCCTCCCGGGGGCGCCAGGAAGCTGGTTTCTGGCAGTGAAGCTGCCCAGTGTCCTGATGGTGGCAGCGGTAACGTGAGCCTCTGCAAGAGATCACGTGCACAGAAACACACACACGTGCACGTGCGCACACAGGCGAAATCCGAGCAAGGCCTGGAGTCTCATTCTGATGTCAATTTCCTGGTCTTGCTGTTTTACTGCTGCTAAGTAAAATGTCGCCATTGCAGGGAGCTGGAGGAGGACCTGGGAGACCCTGCGTACAACTTTTGCAACTTCCTGTGAATCTATAATCATTTCAAAAGTAACAGTGAAAAATAAAACCTACCTCCTCCCCAATTTCCTCTATTCCAATAGAGGGGAGATTTTTCCCTCTGAACTGGGTTGTGCTGTTTGTCAGTCGTAACATATCTAAAATCACTTTGGCAAGGAGGAGGCTGGAGCAGCTGGGCTTCCGATACGTTCCGTCTGAGAGGCCCCACCGGGGAGGTGGGTCGGGAAATGTCCCCTGCACCTGGGGCTTCAGGAGTCACCCCCAGATGGGATCCTGGAGGAAGGGGACACAGGACCAGCATGAGCAAGAGGACTCAGTCGTGGCCAACACCCAGTGGCATCTGCTGCCCTGGCCTGGCAGACAGAACCACTCTTCTGCACCGGAACCTGTCCAGGATGAACACGGCCTGCCCCTCCACAATGCAGCAGTGAAACAGGCACTGTCCCCAGGCGGCCCTCGGTGCCCTGCAACTCTGGGCCCGTTCACTGTGATACTGTGACCTCACCCAGCCTAAGAGGGACAGAGCCAACCAACCAGAAAGACCCTCTCTCCCTCACACCGATTTCCTTGGTGCTCTGTCACAGCGACAAGCAGACTACTATGTAGCAGAGCTCACTGCTTCAGCTGCCCCCTTCTTCCACATCCGTAAAATGAGACCATCAGGGACAGGGACCAAGCTCAGCAAATGCACACTGGGCCTGGGCACGGGCTCTGCACACCATGCACATTCGGGGATGGCAGCAACTCATGCCCCTACGGAAACCTAACAGCAAGGCTCTGCCCCCAGGGCCCCCCCCAGCCAGTGTGGGCACATCTCACTAAGTAACCACTGACTGCATGCAGAGAATACCACTCAGATTACACTTAATGGAGCAGATGATCTAGAACTTCCATTGACCCAGCTACTCCCCCTTCCGAGAGAGTTAAAGACATCATACTGCAGGGATCCATGCACACCCAGGTTTACAGCAATAAAACTCACAACAGCTAAATCTTGGAAGTGGCCTATATGCCCATGAACAGAATGAATAAATAAAATGTGGCATTTACACACAGTGGGGTAATACTCTGCCATAAAGAAAGATAAACTTGAGTCATTTATAGGAACATGGGTGCACCTTGAGACCATAATGTTAAGTGAAATAAATCAGACACACAAGCTTAAATATCACATGGTTTCTCTTCTATGAGAAACCCAGAGTATAAATAAATTAAAGAGAAAAACAAAAGACAGGTGATAGAAAACAGGCAGAGGGATCATTTCCAAAAGGGAAGGGGACCAAGAGGTGGGGGGACGAGGAGGAAGAAAGAATTAAGAAGTGTTACAGAAACACACCGACTCCCCACGATCGATATGACTGTATGTACTGCAAACGTGCTAATAAAGAATGACAGAAAGGGCCGGGGATTTAGCTCAGTGGTTTCTCCACCTGCTGCGCAAGCACAAGGACCTGAGCTCGATCTCCAGTACCAAAAATAAATAAATAAATAAAAATTAAAAATGACAGAAAGAATAAATAAATAAATATATAAATGGATACGTTTAATTACCAATGGGATATTCACTAAAATTAATCTAAGTGTAAGTTTAGGCAAAAACTATTGAGATTGGGCCCTTCGTAATCTGGCAGATTCTGAATCCTTGGGCTCTGTGGTTGCGTTTCTCCTGCTCCAGTCCAGCAGACTCAGTCCCCATGCCAGGGTTCAGAGGCAGCGTGGCCACTCAGGAGCCAGGGCCAACAGAGAACTTGGACCAAAGGCCGGAGTGATCCATGCAGCCGCCCGTACTTCACCAAGGAGGCTGGGGCTAAGACCACGAGCAGAGGCCCTTCCTACCACGGGACACCACTCCCGGCCACGCAGCACAGTGCTGAGTGCGGGACACCGGCCACAGACTGGCCACGGACGTCCCCACTGTGGACTCAGGCGTGGGGAGCAGGGTGGCCTCCGGCAAGCAGGGCAGGGTCTGGCAGTGAACACGGGACTCCCAGTACTGGCCACAGTGGCTTCCGGCTGGGGGCCGGCTACCCCGGAGCCCCGGAGCCCCGAGCCTGGCAGTCCGGGACCCCGCACATGTAATCATGCATCTTCTGCACACATGCTTTGCTCCCATAAAATGTTTCCCAGGAGACACAGAGGAGCCTTCAGCAAGAATGCGTACGAAAGCAGCCGGTCTGCAGGGCTGTGTACTGTGGTCCAACCCTATGCCGTTCTGGAAAAGCCCAGATGTCAGGACGCTGCATTCGTGGTAGGAGGGATGAGCGGGCGACAGGACTGGAGGGGCACTGTCAGTGGGCACTGTGGGGTGGGCGTGGGTCAGGACGCAGTCGGGACACAGGAGAGAGGCCGGAAACCGTGGCCCTCGGGAAGTGCCCATGGGCGGTGCCGGTCCTCACAGGTCACAGGTGCCCAGGGACACTGTGCATGTCCAGAGGATCTCTGTACTCACTGCCCGATTTTCCTGCAAATCACAAACTGGACCAAGAGATAGAGGGCAGGGAAGGGAGAGGAGAGAAAGGGGGTGAAAAAAGAGTGAAGATGTGTTCCGCACATGGGCAGCTCCTCATGAGTATAATCGTGTCGTGCGGTAAACTTGTACTAATAAAAATAAACTTCTTTTTAAATGGTCAATTAAGTTTTGAAAAATAAAATATCTCCTGGTCCATTCAGAACCTCAAACACCTGAGAGCTAGTTCACAGTCCCTGAGCAGGGAAACACTACCAAGAGAAAGATGATCTAACTTACTCGCAACCAGAAGCACGGGAAATGAGATGCATGTGCAGAACTCTTTGCCCCCCTGTGGCTGGCCTGGGGAGCCTGGTTCACAGCTCCAGAGTGGGGAGAGGACCCCACCAGGACATCCAGAGTAGCCACAGCTCCCTTCACATAACACCCCTCTCGAGATGCCCTCTGTCAGTTTTGTGATCCCTCGCTTCATGCAGCTAGGCCAGCCTTGCTTCTGCCTTTTTTCCTGTGTCCACGCAACACTTTGCACCAAAGGAGAATTAGACAGTGCAAACATTTATGCAGAAAAATGGTTTGCAGTGTTACCTCCCCGGAGTGCTTGGCCACAAATGAAAGCCTGGTACACACTCCTGCTGCCGGAGGACAGGAAATGGAATCCTTTGCTCAATATATTTCCAGCTTTTATGAGGCAGTGTTCATGGAAATGTGTCAGCTTTTCAGCTGAAGCCCAGGCTGAAAATAGCCCTACCCCTGCCAAGCCAGACCAGCATCCAGGGCACCAAAAGGGACAGGGGTTGGCGCTCGGGGTCTTGGTGAATGGGTGAAGCTCTTAGGTGTTTTCATCTGAGCTTCAAAGAGATTGAGCAAAAAGAACGCAAGGCAGGAGCAGGTGGCAGAGAGCGGTTGATCAGAAGATGGGTGTCATGGCTGTGCCTAGACGTCCCCCAAAAGCCTATGGAGTCATGGGTGGGGCTTTTTCAGAGGTGGCTGGATCTAGAGTGTGTGACGCTGGGATTAAGGGTGCATAACTATAAATCAGTCTAAATAAATAAACCAGTCCAATGATCGGTTTGGCACCCACCCTGAGCCGGGTAGCCTAGATAGAACATAAAAGGGGCAGAAGAAGCTGCTTTTGTCACTTGTGGCTTGCTGGCTTCCCTTGCTGTTTCTCCTCTGATGCCCCTCTGCCATGCCACCCTGCTTTGGAGCCAGACAACTGTAGACTGAAATCCCTATAAACTGTAAGCTAAATAAACCTCTCCCCATTTAACTTGGGGTGTCAGCTATTTTTTTCCAGCCACGAGAAAAGTAACTAAGACAATGAGCCACTCGTGTGCTAGACCCGAAGATCACCAACATGAGCTGCCACTGCTGTGCCCCAGCCACACTACAGATGTTCAGAACTCCCCACGTTCTGCTCCCCTGTGCCCTGGCATTGCTTCATTTTCTCCACTGTGGGTTGAGTTGGGTTGTGGTCTGCATCTGGATGCCCCTCAAAGCCTCATGGGCTACAGGAACGACCTTGAGAAGGTGATCAGATGTGGGGCATTACAGTTGACTGCTGTTAGGAGGCGGGGCCTGTGGAAGTGGTAGTCATGGGGGCGGTGACCAGGGAGGCTCCAGCTCCCTGCATGGCCCCTCCCTTCACTCTCTGCATCCTGTCCATCACACTTGAGCAGCTCTCCTCCACCAGACCCTTGTGCTGCACTGCCCTGCCTTGGAGCTGGCCAACCACGGAGGACTAAAACTTCTAAGCCAAAATAAGCCTCTCCTCCTTTAGTTGTGGGTGTCAGATATCGTATATCAGTGACTAGGGAAGTTTCATCCCCCCGAAAAAGCTCTGCTCAAGTCCCAGCCCCTGAACCTGTGCCTGGGATCTCATTTGGAAACAGGGCCTTCATCACTGTGGTCAAGTTAAGCCTCTCATGCTGGAAGGAGGAGGCCCTAATCCACTGAGGGTCCTTATGAGAAGAGGGAGACACAGGCACCCATTCACCGTGCAGCCACATGAAGGTGGGGGGCAGCGACTGTAGTGATGCAGCCAAGGGACACTGAGGACGCTAGTCACACCACTGCTGAGAAGGACACGGATCAGATTCCCCTGTGGGTTTCAGAAGGTGAGTGGCCCTGCTGACACCTTCAATTCAAACTTCCAGCCTTCTAATCCGAGACGGTAGATTTTAAGCCCCAGTCTTTGGGGCTCTGTCGCTGCAGCCCCAGGACATGCACGCACTGATGTTTTGGTTCACAACAGACCACAAAGGCGATCGTGGCCCCATAAGATGACAACGCCTGATAACACAGAGCCAGTTTAGTTGGTGTCAACTGTATGTACACCCCACGCAGACTTCACACACCTCTCCTGCCATCTGTGGGCAGGCACGGTGGTTCGTGGCTGTAGTCCCAGCACCTTGGAGGCCCTGGCAGGAGGATCATTGTGAGTTCGGGGCCAGCCTGGGCTACACAGCAAGACCCTGTCTCAAAAAACAAAACAAAAATCATAAATGCACTACATAGAAACCCTGATGAATGTCACATATGTAAATCCCATAGATCTGTGTGTGTGTGTGTGTGTGTGTGTGTGTGTGTGTGTGTGCCCATCAGGATCTTATTCCCCAAGGAAAACTTTCAAATCTTAATTTGTTTGGGGGAAGAAAAACCCAAAGCCTGAAGGTGGACCCCAGATGATCTCACGGAGCAGACAACTGGCAGCCAGGATTTATGAACTCGTGGTGGAGGGAGTTTCTGCACGATGTGTTCCTGGCAAAGTCGTGCATTTCAAATTTATTTTTTAATTAATTTCAATAATAAAAGAAAAAGTCATTGAGTAATTAAATTCCCTGCCTCTAAGCATTTTCACTTAAATAGATCCATTTGTTTTACAACTACTCAATGGAAATTCCTAGGACAAAACTCTGAGGCCTGCCCTGGTCACCTCACCCTCAGACCACAGAGCCGGCTGCCCAGGGCTGGTCCAGGCCCGGTGTGACTGCACCCCAGTCCCTCCAGCTGGTGTCCTACCTCCTGGGCACCGCACTGTGGTTCTGTTGGGGGCACCAGCGTCCTGACGCACAGCGGCTCTGCCTAGGACGAGAGGTAGGGTTGGGGTCTGCAAACAGCGCCCCCACAACCTGCTGTCCCCCCGATGCCCCTGCCGGCCTCACTTTCCACACCAGGACTGTGTGGACAGTCCTCAGAATAAGGCCAGGCTCAGCCAAGCGTCCGCCACAGCAGACCTCCCACCACGCCACCACTTCCTCCTGACGATTTTTAGTAGCTGGTGCACTAAATGCCCTTTGGCAAAGACTGGCAGGGCGGATAATAAAGGCTGCCTTTATCGGGCACTTACTCCACACCAAGTGCATACACATATTCTAGCCCAGAACCCTTTGGGGAGCCTGAGAGCGACCAGCATTATTTTCCCCTTAGACAGACAGGGAGGCTGGGGCATGGTGCTCAGGAGAACTAGGATTTCGACCAAGGCAGTTAAATGCAAGGCCCACAGTCCACCCCTCTTCCACAATACACAGAAGTTCTGCGCGCGGACAGGAACGATGTGAGCACCAACTCCTGTCCAAGACCGGCAGGACCTGGTACTGAGCGCATCCTGCCCGCTGCCACCAACCTCAACTCCAGGCACGGAGGTGGTGAGCAGCCTTCCCTGCCGCTCACGGCTCTGTGACCCTTGGTGGGTCACAGGGCCTCTGGTCCCCCTTTCCCTCAGCTCCCCACCTCTTGGGCCATTGTGAGGATTAGTGAAATAAGGTTTGCAAGTGCCACAGCCCCAGATCCAGAGACGCTGCCTCACGTGCTCATCACACTCCGACTGGCTCTGCACACTGGGGAGCAGGACAGGCAGCGCCGGGCTGGGGAACCTCACTCCCCGAAAAGGACCAGCCATTGTCCTCTGCTCTGCCGGGCCTGGGTCCCCTCGCCCGCCCACTCAGCTCTGCCGCTGGAAGGCGGGATGGGGGCAGCAGCTCCCTGGGAGGCTCTGCTCACACCGGAAGCAGCCCTGGAGCTGGGTGTCTCCTGGGGGGGACACCGAGGAGGAGAGGTGGGGGGCACACGGCGGGAAGGAGCTGACTGGCCATGATCGCGGACCCAAAGCTCCACCACGTGTCAAGGGCGCTGAGCTCTTCCCAGACCGGGGGCCTCTGCTCCAGCTGCCCGCGCCTGCCACACCCTGCCCTTCCTCCTCAGGAGCAGAAGCATCAATGCTGGGACAGCCCTCTCCCTGGACACCAGCCCCACCTCCTGCCCCTGAGGACCCCTTCCCACAAGCCCTAGGCACCTCACTCCCGTGTGATTCCAGCCATGTCTGCCTCCTCACCAGGAGACAGGACCTGGGCGTGCAGGTAGATGCCCTGTTCCCAGAAGACATGAAGCTCAGAGATGTTCCACCGTGAGAATAAAAAATGGCTTTTGAGCCGGGTGTGGTGGGGCATGCCTGTAATCCCAGCACTCAGAGGCTGAGGCAGGAGGATTGCTGAGAATTCGAGGCCAGCCTGGGCTACACAGTGAGTTCCAGGCCAACCAGAACTATATAGCAAGATCTTGTCTCAAAAAACTCCCCCAAAATACATTTAAAAATGGATTTTGACTCTTTTTTTCTGTTCTTATATTTTCCCATTCTCTGGCTTCCCACATTTATAAACTGAGGTACAAGCTCCATAAAGGGCTAAGCTCTTTTCCTACCAAAAAAAAAAAGGTTTTTCAGTGACTGATGTATTTAATTAGCATCAAAACTATAGTTACAGTATACATTTTATAAAACTACTAATCCACATGTGTGCAAATTTGCCTCTAAGGACAACTTAGTCATTTTACGATATGCTTTCAATATTTCCCCATTGTTCCAAAGTAATATTTTCTGCTATTAAAATATATAATAAAGTTCTCGAGGAAAAAAAAGCCCAGTGTCAGTCCAGGCAAGTAAAAGAGACTAAGAACTTTATAACCACCTTTCCTTTGTCTTCAGCAAGGGAAAAGTCTGAAATTAATTTTACCTCCTTGATTTAAAAAATACCCTGGAGGAGTCACAGGCGGCTTTAACGTGACGCCCCTGCACACGGCCTCAGCTTCCTGCCTTGCTGTGAGGACTCGGGGTGTGCAGCAGGGCTGCGACCTCATGGTCAGACCACAGGGGTGACCACAGGGGGTGTCCAGGTCCCGCCCCAGACCCTGGAAGGCTCCGAGACAGCGCCAGCCGCAGCGTGGAAGGCATGGCCCGCTCCACACACAGCGAGGGCTGTGACCTGGCCCTGCCGCTTTGTGGTCGTTGTTTCCTGGGGAGAAACACTGCGGTCCCTAGCAGCCCAGGGGACCCCGCATGAGCTGCTGCCCTGAGCCGGGGGGCCCAGAGCACCTGCGTTGGGTGGCGGGGCTAGAGCCCAGGGTCCCACTGAGGGGCCTCGGCCATGCTGCCTCACCGTGCGGTCCTGGACACGTGGCTGGGCCTCAGGTTCCTCATCTGTAAGAGCAGGGGATGCCTGTCACAAACCAGAGGAGGTCACGGGGGGAGTAGGGAAAGCACCCGCACCGCGGTGACTCAACCTCCGACAACCGCAAGAAGAGGCAGGCACCCAGGGCCTACAGGAGCAGGGGTCCTGGGAACTCAGCGACGCAGAGAACACTCCTGACCTCGGCTTCAGAGCAGGAGCAAAGGCGGTGGGCTCAGATGTGCCTTTGGGGAGAGCAACACACTGGGTTTTGAAGACTTGGGATGAAAAGAAGTGAGTGCCTCACTGATATCTTTAACACTGATTATGTGTGGAGGGTATCATTTTTGCTATATTGGCTTCAATAAAATATATTACTGGCATTACCTTCACTTTCACTCTATAACGAGGCCACTAGATTTTACCTCCCACGCGTGGGCTGCATGGTTTCTACTGGACAGCGCTGGTTCGACGGATGGACCACGGGCTCGCACATTTGCACAATGGGACCCCAGGCGCGTGCACCTCAGGGTCCTGCTCTCCACACACAAATGGGAGCAGGTGCTATTCACACCATCACCTGAGAACAGCATTGCCAGACGTGTCTGCTGCCTTCTCCTCAGGCCCACTGGTCCTGCAGGGCGCTTGGGTGTCACCCGGCCTCTGCCTGGTGAAGAACCGACTGGCAGAGAGATAGGAAGAAGAGCAAAAGGGCCCTCAGTGTGGTTAGCTGAGAGATACACTTGAAAACAATACAAGGTATCCTTACAACTCAGCTGGTCCAGGCTCCAGGTGGGTCCCGGAGAGCAGAGGGGAGGCAGGTGCAGGAGGAAGGGAGACTGGGCAGGGGGAGTGCAGGAAGACCTGGCCCAGGCCAGCAGCAGTGTGATAGAGCAGGTGAAGAGCCTCCACGTTTGAGGTAATTATGTGAACACTCTGTACCTTTCAAAATAGCAGACAGCAATTTCCAGTTCCATGTACCTTTGTATTCACAGGGCCACACCATAGGCCCCAGAACACAGCTGCTGAGATGCAGGACACCTCGCCTGGGCTGGAGAGCTGAGCTCACCATCCCTCGGGGTCCCTCCACAAGCTGCCCTCAGCCAGGGCCACGGAGTAAGAATGGTCTGTCTGCTGCCACTGGCCAGAGACAGAACCACAGGACGCTCACCGCCTGCACAGGCCGGCAGCCACACCATGACAAATGAGGGCCAAGAATGCCCTGGCCCGTGTCCTGGGGCGTGGCCGCACCTACAGCCTGAGCCCTCCCCAAGGAGGGGGGAGGCAGGCACAGCTCCCAGCCAGTACAGGGACCTTTCTCAGGAGCAGTGAGAGCGGCTGGTTCTGCACAATGGAGCCCAGCATCACACACTGCCGGCGGGAAGCAGTCTGAACCACAGCCTGCCAGAGGCCCCACTCCAGGTTGCCCAACGCCGCAGTCAGGAGGACCATTCGCCTGGCCTGCTGCTTAGGGACAGTCTCATAGAGATGTTGCCCATGCCAGTTCCTCACCGCCTCTGCTCTGCTCCCTCTTGTGGTCCTCCCTGATGATCACTACCGCCACAGGAGAAGGTGCGGCTGGGCCCAGAGTTTCCCAGAATGCACTGTGCTGGCGGCACCCCAGCATCTGCCCTCCCGGCAACAGCCTCGCCTTCTGCTTGGGCAGTGTCACGCGCCCCCTCACCCCCACCCCGCTCCGTGGCTGCTGTCGGCTGTCCTCTCTGCAGCACCTACACAGTGCCACGCTTCCACCCGGGAAGACACCAAGTGTCCGCTCCAGGACAGCCAGCACCACACGTGAGGGGGCCCTGGCAGGCGGGGCAAGCCAGCCCATGAGGGAATGATCGAGTGAATGAATAAATGATAACTGAGGGAGCAGAAAGACCAGAGTCATCTTGAGCCTTCCTGTCTGAAAAGGACCCCTGGGAGCAGGTTTTGAATCCTCCTGGCACCACAGCGCACGCTGGGCAGGTCTGTTCCTCAATTGCTCTGTGCATGGACCACATCGCCCGCCAGAGAAGGTGCTGCCCAGTTCCTCTATTCTAAGCTCGCTGGGCTGGGCAGACAAGGAGTAGAACGGGGAGCAGCAGTGTCGGCACTGGGTACGCCCCTTATCGAGGAGTGTGAAGCCATAGCTCTTTTAGGGGCTCTGATGCCCACCCCACCTAGGAACGGAAGGCACAGAGTTAACACTCCTGCTCGGGGAAGGGATTAGCAGTTTTGTGTCTCTTTAGTTACTCAGATCCCTGCCTCGCTGGAGAAAAATATCTTGAAAGATTAGATTATGTGGCGGGAACTTCGGGGCCATGGTGCACAGAAGGGGCCCTGTCACCTCCCCGCCGAGCTGAGGTCTGGAGAGAATTTCCCGCAGGTGGTCCCGGCCAGATTTCCTGGAGTTCAAGGGACAGAGCAGACAGCCTTTCCTGCCCCGGGACTTCAGCGTGAAAGCACTTTTTAAACCTTAAATTAAAAATCCAAAAGGCCGTGTCCATCCACAGACTCCAGGCACTTGATTTCTGAAACAGCGACACATCCCGGGCTCTCGGCAGAGGCAGAGGCAGAAAAATAATCCAGGCCAGGGACCGTGCCAGGCAACACAATGCCTCGCCCCCTCGGCACAGGCCTGCCTCCCACTCCCAGGCT